TACTCAGCACTTCTCTTTGGGATACTGCTCGCTGTTCTTGTATGGGAAAGTGAAGATTCAAATGCGTTGTAATAGTAAGGAAAAGCTTCTGCCAGCCATGCTTGTCTCACTCTCCCCAGCCAGGTGGAAACCTCAGGTACCCAGTCCCTTCAGTAAGGCAGATTCCAAGGACAGGAAAAGAGAAAAAACTAGGGGTATCTGATTCTGATACCTTATCTTCTAGTTATATAACACTGCTTTCCTCCCCATAATTTACCAGAGAAATTCTGGCACTGGCAGCACGTGTTTATTGTCTGGTTGTCTGTTGGCTATCATTCACTACTTGTGAAGAGCTCACCGCTGAGGTGCAACCAGCTCCACCTGCAGTGGTTTTCTCTTCCAGCCAGAGTACAAGGGGATCTTTGCTGACAGCAGCACTGGTGTATGTAGCTTTGCTAGGCCACTGGAGGGCAGGACTGGCATTATGTATCAAGAAGAACATGAGAAGGAAGCTACTGTCACGCACAGCAACACTCACGAAGCGTTATTCACGTATTTTGAGCCCTGTGCTCATGAAGTTCACAATAACACCCTTCTTTTTGGACTTTATTTCATCAACAGCAAATAGTGATCAATTGATCCTTATTTTCCACTTTTGCACTCTAAAATAGAACAAGAGGAACTTGTCTGTTCTTTTTTTTCTTTATTTGCAAGCACCTCTGGGCGGTTCAGACTGTGCTGAAAACAAAGTGAGTCAGAGCCACAGTACTGATGGAACAGGGACTAGGGTAAAAGCAGTTGTAAACCCAGCATCCTCTGATTTAACATACTCAGCAGCCCATTCAAAGTGCTATGGCAAAGCTAGCACAGAAAAAAAAAAAGCCTTTAGCTTAGCTATGAAGCAAGCCTGGATTTGGTGCATGGGGTAGTAATTAGGAGAGTTCTGTATACAGTTGTTGATGGTAAATGACCTCATTTTTATCATACATCAGAAGGGTCAAGAGCACTAGCATGTCCCTCTGAAATATCTTCACAAGGCAATCAGGTCAGCCTTTCATTAATTTTGCAAATCAGATTTGATCCAGTTCAGGGATTTTTCACAGTAAATGAAACAACTTCTATACAATTGAAGGACATTTAAAAAGGAAGTTGAGTGCTGTTGTGGGTGGGAGGAAGGAAAGGGATGAATGAGTCAAAGGCCAAATCCGCACTTCTCCTCAGACTCTTGTTCTGAGTCCTGGTGATATATAAATTGCTTCTGGCAAGCCCTAGAAAAACAGTTAGAGACAAAGTCCAGTAAAAGGGGGAGGTGCTGAAAATTCAAATTAAGCTAATAAATGAATAAGTAAAACTCTTAATATCAAATGTGCTGGTAGTTCACTTATGCTAGCAGAAGGAAAAAATACATGCTTTTATCTACGTGGAAAATGTTCTATTAGAGCAGAAGAAAATATATGAAAAGAGTAAAGAAGACTCTAAATGAGGAAGAGCAGGGAAAAGAGCCAAAATAAAACATAGGGAATATGAGGAGAGGGTAGGCAAGAAGAGGAGCAGAAATTGTGGAAAATATTGGTTTTTTAGTGGAACTTGCAGATCGATTTTTTTATAATAAATAAGAAGAAAAAATGATGATGTAATCACATGGTTGACGATTATGGTAAACAGAGAGGCCAAAAGGAATCGCTAGGTAACAGATGGAGCAGACAGCTGAAGATAAAGAAAACCCCAAACTTCCCCCACTCACAGGGCAGGAACGAATAGCAGAAAAGAAAACAGAAACCTAGTAAGGTCTGTGGAGACTGAGAGTTATGTCTCTGCACAATGCCAGGAGAAAGACAGGTGAAGCTTTTTTCAGATGTACAACTATAAAGAGGACTTATGTGTTTTTCCATTAGTGGGTATTTCTTCTGCTTTCTTCTCCACCAAAGGGCAGCTGAAGTAAAGACCTAAAACTGTAGATCAGAGTAAGAACAGTTCTGTGACTGAGATGAATCCCAGTGTCTTTGAGGCCTTGAAGGTGACTTTATTTTAGAATTCAAAAACAATGTGCCTAATATGCCATTTTCCCAGGTACCACAGATTTAGGGAAGTAGGGAAGAGCAGAGTCATCTCCTTTGCCTACCGTTCAGCTCATTTTCAACACAGGGCTATGCACATGTGTAGTCACAAAAGCAAATTGTCCATTACTCCACTTAAGTGTATGTGTCCGACAAGAGTGTAACAGCAACAGCATTTGCAAGATGGCACCCTTGTGCTGGCACAGCACAGTCACAAAATAACCCAAGCTTCTGCCCTGCATTTCTAACATGTTTTCTGCAATGGTTTCTGCACAGTCACAGAATTACAGAATAGTTGAGGTCAGAAGGGACCTGGAGAAGTCTTTTATCACAGCCATGGATCTTGCTCATTTGAGTAAGCAAGCTATGCAATACGCAGCGAGCTACCCATCATTTGGGTATGACATTGTTCTGTAAACCCCCTAGGTCTCAGCCACCCTACCATAGTCTACTAGTAGGCTCTTTTTTGTAATCAGTCATGCCCTCTAGGCTTCAGTTTCTCAAATAAATGCAAAGTGCAGACATGGTATATTCCTGACAGTATACTCGCAAACTCAAAATCCTAACAGTCTTACTTTAGGTATCTAGTCCAACCATTGATCCCCTTCTGAGTTATTCAGAGGCACCATTCCAATGTGCTACAACTATAATGCTTTCTTTTACTGTATGCAGAGCAAAAGAGAGAAAAGGTATGCTGGATGGCTAGACAGTAATAAAACAGGAAAGGTGAGAACCTCTCAGACAAGTTTTGCACCCCTGCCAAATGAAACAAAAAATCTCACCTTTGTGGTCGTGCTGCTAGTCAAACCTGCTGCCACCTTCTCGTCAGTGAGAGCTCAGGGCACTACCCTGTCCTTCAGAGCTCAAGGAACCACTTCTGACTCATACGAGCAATGAATTTTTCAGGATTCAACCAAAAAAGCTTAGCTCTTACTTGACATTTAACTCCCTTTCCTCTTTTGTCTGCAACAATAACAAGGGTAAAGGAATATGTCCTATTGCCAGTGTACCTAGACAGCTAAACTGTTTTGTGCAAGCAAATTCAGAGCACCCTTCGCCCTCCTGACGCGCTTAGTTTTTCTCCCTTTTCACCATGACGCTTTTTGTTACTGGTCCATTCCTTGACAGCAGTACCTGGAATGAAAATGTTCTGCTGCCATCCAGAGCTACCACACAATAGCAAAAGAGGTAATGACTGGGCCACTGAGAGAATGCCTTCATTCAGCACAACCCTCAGTAGCGTATGGTGCTAATCCAGCACCCAGTTCCCAGAGACAAGGAAGCAGCACACCAGCAACCTGCAACACCCGTGTCCATGGAGGAGTGAGGCTTTTTGGAGGGAGAGGGCAGAGCTGGGGCTCAAACATAATAATAAAAAAAAAAAAAGAAAAAAAAAGGATTACTGTTTAGAGCTGTGCTTGTCTAAAGCAAAAAGAGATTCAGTATCTGGATCGTTCTTAGCAACAACGTCTTTAAAGTGGTGATACATTTGAAGTGAGGCCTCTATGCCTGCCCTAGGAAGAAGTTCAGCAAAATGTTGAACATTGGTTTTTTTTCTTGAATATCTAAAGATTACTAATTCTGGGGAGGTTGAGTTATCTGTATGTCCTTGTGCTGCGTATTTATATTAACTCAGCAAATGTGTTTTGGAAAGGGGA